TATATATATATATATATATATATATATAGCTTTACCAAAACTTGGTGGGTGCAAATCACCAGTGCTATTCATGTGGAGGTTAATTAACTTTAGTTACATCTGGCTGTAGCTTTCAACAAATTACGCTGACATTGCCGAGTGTCTTCCTGATAAAAAGAAATTAAGATTTTAAATGTATTTACTTTACCAATTCAAGTGATCTTTTTCTGAACATTGGTTTTATTATATAAATAACAATCATTGATTGTGAACATTTATCTTTACAGATTGAAAGACTTTGACATAAAGTGGGTAGATGACACTCATGCATTAGGGGTGTTTGCAAGTCCTTTGGTAGGTGAGTACACGGGTAGCATATTTCTGTAACTCCATCTGCAAGGACTTTGGTAGGTAGGTGTCCACACAGCCAGTAGACTTGTAGAACCACACCTGCAAGTACTATTGTTACACACCCTTCTAGTTATAGGCCTAATACTAATGTCTTACTATTCTTACACACCCTTCTAGTTCTAGGCCTAATGCTAATGTCTTACTATTCTTACACACCCTTTTAGTTCTAGGCCTAATGCTAATGTCTTACTATTCTTACACACGGAGCATCAGACCTAGAACTAGAAGGGTGTGTAACAATAGTAAGACATTAGTATTAGGCCTAGAACTAGAAGGGTGTGTAAGAATAGTAAGACATTAGCATTAGGCTTAGAACTAGAAGGGTGTGTAAGAATAGTAAGACATTAGTATTAGGCCTATAACTAGAAGTGTGTGTAAGAATAGTAAGACATTCGCATTAGGCCTAGAACTAGAAGGGTGTATAACAATAGTAAGACATTAGTATTAGGCCTAGAACTAGAAGGAGAACATCCCCCCCCCCCCATTGGATCAGCAGTAAGTCTGAGGGCTTACACTGCAGAAAGACTGTGTTTCCTCGTATTGGGCACAGCACAAATAACCCATTGTGTAGCTTTGCACTTAACAACAAACAAACAAATAACTCCAGAATTACTGAGGAGGTTCATGGATCCCACTGACTCTTTACAACACATTTTTCTACCTTGTTTATGCTAAAAATTGTATAGGTCCATGAATTTGTGCGTTACGGGGTCTCTAACTAAGAAAATATCAATAACACAAAAAAAAACATCCGTATTATGAGTTCTTCTAGTTACTACTCTATTTTACTAAGGTAATGAATGCTTTCACCAATTTTTTTTCTTCTTTAACAGATGAAAACATCAAATGGTTCAGTATGTATCCACACTGGTGTTGACTAGTATAAAAAAAACAAAAAGAAGCTGGTAATTAGTTAACTAATTAATTGTGTTTAATTTGTTTAAAGAAAGATGTCTCTGTAACGTATTCTCTCCATTTTTTGATTTATATTTTGTTTAAAATGAAAAATTCCTTTCAGTAATATTAGAATTATTTTAAAATAACATTTCTGTTAATGTGGTTTTTCAAGACAGAGATGTCATATATATACGTTGTAGATAAAGGGTATGGCGGTTAGGGGTGCTTGATTCGCAATATGAACTTCGTGAAATTGAACTCTCGTCATCGATTATGTGCACCCTTTCAGCCGTGGATGCGTTATAATGTGACGGTCAATCCCGTTATTTGTTGGCATTGGGTGTTGTTGACTAGCTTCCTTCTCTCTAGTCTGTCACTTGAAAATCAGGGCAGCTAGAACAAATAGTCGTCGATTAACTTTGTATAAAATTCAAGTAAACAAGTAGTAGGTCAAATGTTATATAAAGATATTGTTGATCGTATAATTTGAATTTTTTTCTGCTTTTCTTTTAGTTAGATGACATCTTTTACTTGTATACATTTTGTACTATGTTTCATACAGCGTCAGATGTCCTTACCATCCACAACCCGCTACTAAAGGTGCGTCCTTTATCGCAAGCAACAAGGGAATCAAAACATAAAGCATATAGACTATCAGGTAAATCGAGACTACGTACGTTTCTTGAATTCTTACTGTTCTCATTCACCAAATGTGAGGCAACATTTATTATAGTGACAGTGATCTATGTTTTGTTTTGTTCTTCTTAATAACTTTATTTTTTGGAATATACAGTGTTAGATGAAATTGAATTCTAAATTTGTTAAACTAAGGTTTTTAGTTAGTCCTAAAGCCTTTACGTAAAGAAACCTATACATTCAAATAAAAGTTACTTGAAATTATATTTCAGTAGTAACTAATATCTTTTAAATAAAACCAGATAATTAAAAAATTGTTAATTTAAAAGGGGGGGGGGGTAGGAATTGTCAAAAAAGTACAGAAACAAGTTGAATCAAAGTGCAAATATTATATTTCCAAGCCTAAAACTAAGGATTCTAAAAAAAAGTAAACAAACTAGGCTGGATATAGTGTCTACATTATTTTCTGAAGCTACAAATCCCTGTTTTGACTACAGTACTTAACAGTTTTAGTGGAGTCAAAATAGGGCTTTGTACCTTGAGAAAATAATATAGATACTATATCCAGGTTTTTAAATTAACAATTCTTAATCATCTTGTTTTACTTGTGTCTCATGCCACATACATGCATGTGCATCCAGCTGAATGTCACGTGTTTTTCAACAGTTTACTGCTGTATTGGCTTTTTTTTGTCTACCCAACCATTATTTACTGATCCAGGTGGTTTTGTGTAAGCATGTGTTTAACAAGTGTTGAGTACAAAGGAAGCTGCTAACAACAACACTGTACATATTATGTATTTATAGCCACTTAAATTAACTTTGAAAGAAAAATAATCAAATTTGTAAATAGATCATTGACATTTGTAGCATTTCATGTAGTATATCTGTCTAGGTTTTGGTGCTAAACACCCAGCCCATTTTGCTGTAGGCTTGTGAAACACAAATATGAATCATACTAAACACCCAGCCCATTTTACTGTAGGCTTGTGAAACACAAATATGAATAATATTAAAATATGAATCATACTAAACACCCAGCCCATTTTACTGTAGGCTTGTGAAACACAAATATGAATAATATTAAAATTTGAATCATAATTTCAGCAAAGTACAAAAGTCGGTAAAACAAATCACCGTTCACAAGAGTAGAGAAATCTACTACAGTAATCGTCTTCTGTTAGAAAACTCACCGTTCACAAGAGTAGAGAAATCTACTACAGTAATCGTCTTCTGTTAGAAAACTCACCGTTCACAAGAGTAGAGAAATCTACTACAGTAATCGTCTTCTGTTAGACAACTCACCATTCACAAGAGTTGAGAAATCTACTACAGTAATCATCTTCTGTTAGAAAACTCACAGTTCACAAGAGTAATCTACTACAGTAATCATCTTCTGTTAGAAAACTCACCGTTCACAAGAGTTGAGAAATCTACTACAGTAATCATCTTCTGTTAGAAAACTCACCGTTCACAAGAGTTGAGAAATCTACTACAGTAATCATCTTCTGTTAGAAAACTCACCGTTCACA